TCCATCAGTCTGACACAAGAAGGTAAATTAGTGCTGCAAAGACATTTATTTTTTCTTTAGTAATGCTTCATTTTAACCTCAGCACTCATGTTTGACAAGTAATTACAAAGTGCTGACTCGTGTTTAAAGAGTATTAATCACTCAGGATGAATAACTGCAGCCAGCATGGTTTTAAATGTGAAAAGTGCAACAATCAAAGACGTTAGAGAGGAAAACTAGATGTTTTGTGAACTCAGAGGTCATCTGACCTTGTCTTGATTCCCATTATTACATTATTATTATTATTATTATTATTATTATTACTATTACTATTATTATTATTATTATTATTATTACATGTCTCTTTCTCAGGATGAACCAAACTGTAGATTTTACTACTCCTAATATTGTAGCAATTTCATTCAAATTCCATTATTTTTCTGTTTTTAGTTTTCTAAATTCCCCTTTTTCCATTTTTTCCCTGAATTTGACATTTTTATTGTAACTTTATTCATTAACCTAAAAAGTGTGTAATAAAAAAGTGACTGAAAAATAGTTGAACCAATAAATAGCCTCATAAATAAAAAAAATGATGTAATTTTACCTTTACTAGTACCACAATTTGCTGTGGTTCAGTAGAACATTAAATTAATTTTACGTGTTTAAAAGTATTTACTAACAAAAAGACGTGCAAAACAAAGAATAGGACATTAAAAAATTGTTCTTTTGTAAAAGAAAAATGTTTTAGACTTGAACTTGACATTAAATATGTCATATGTAGTGGCAGCGGCCAAAATAAGCCAATTTTGTGAAATTCTGCATTTCAAACTGGATTCAGTTTTGTTTGTTCAGTTCTGCGCTTCCATCCACGTTTTCCACATTGCAGAAATAGAGAGCTTTAATCTGAACTCTTCTGACCGCATGTTTTCTTCACAGTAAAACCTTCCAAATGCAACAAGCACACCTCAGATCAACTTCAGGCCTTTTTTCTGCTTCATTAAGAAAGACATAATGAAGGAATTATCAACACCTGTTCTTGAAATAGCCTTTGAATTGTCCAATTACTTTAGGCCCCTTTAAAAACAGGGTGACACATGTTAAGGAGCTGAAACTCCTAAAACCTTCATCCAATTTAATGTGGACCCTCAAATGAAAGCTGAAACTCTGGACTTTATGTTCATTATATAACTATAACTTGAATATGTTTCAGTAAACGGGTAAAAAACAAACTTTGTGTCAGTGTCCAAATAAGAATAAACTGTAGGATACAGTATTGAGATATAGAGTTATGTCTATAACATTGAGTTTTAGTTGTTCAAGTCTCCTTCTTCAGTGGTCTCCACAGCAAGTCATCCTCGTCCCTCTCACTCTGTCCTCCTGGTCCTCTGTCTTCACTCAACTAGGACTCTGTACCACAGAGCAGACAGTGTCCGTACAAACACGGGAGCCAGGGAGAAAGAGAAATCACACACACGACAGGCCCTGGAGCAGTGTGGTTATCCTGACTGGGCTTTCCTGAAAGCAGACAGGAAACACAGACAGGATTCCATGCAACCTTCAGGTGAAAATGAAGACCCCAAACCCAGACCCAAACCTGTGGTTATTCCGTGTGTTGCAGGTGTTTCGGAGAAACTGAGACGTTTATTTTCTAAACATGATGTCCCAGTGGCTTTCAAAACCCAAAACACATTACGGCAAAGGCTGGTTCACCCCAAAGATCCGGTGCCCCAGCACAAACAGAGCAATGTTGTATATGCTGTTAAGTGCCAGGAGGACTGCGACCAGTTATACATCGGGGAAACAAAGCAGCCACTGTTAAAAGAATGTCCCAACACAGACGAGCTACATCTAATGGCCAGAACTCTGCAGTTTTCACTCATTTACAGGCCAGCGGTCACTCTTTCAGAGATGAGGATGTTCTCATTCTTGATAGAGAGGAACGTTGGTTTGAGAGAGGAGTAAAAGAAGCCATTTTTGTGAAGAAAGACCGTCCATCATTAAACAGAGGTGGAGGCCTCCGTTTTCAGTTGTCCCCTTCCTACAGTGCTGCTATTGCCAGTATCACTCCACCCCCTGTTAACAATAAGTGTTAATTAGGTGTCAACGATAGCCATGTGATGTGAGTATCAGTCACATGGAGGCAGGGCTTAAAAGCCTGAATTTTGCCTGAAACTCAGACTGAAGAAGTCTCTTGGAGGAGAGACGAAACGTTTCATTAGAGAAGAACCCGTCCAGAAGACCTATACAATTTTTTTCTTTTTGATTTTTTTACCTGGATTACTGAGATGCATCAGGACATTCACTCAACTACCTCCATAGATTTCCTATCTTTTTCCTGGCAGATGCATCTCTAATATATTCCTACCAATGTACCATTTCTGTTCAAACAAAAACCAGGATCAAAGAAACAAAGTTTAAAGTCTTCCTAATAGCTCTGTCACATGGTTACATTTTAGACAACTTATGACAATTTTATAGACAGGCCAGGTAGATGTAACTTTGAGGAATAAAAATAGAAAAGCATAATTTCCAAAGTCATAAATTTCTGTAGGCCATGGTAGTAACACACACACACACTAACACAACCACTTCTGATTTCATTTCATCAGTTATTTAACAGAATTATTAAGTTTGAAGTGAACTTAAATATATATCATTAGCTGCTGGTTAAAAATGAAACCTTTTCCTGGATATAGACTCAGTGGCACACTTCACCCTCTACCAGCGCTCAAGCTAGTGTACGTTCTCACCCATCTCCATGATCACCCTGTGCCCTTAGATAAACTAACAGCTGGAGAAGGGAGTTGCGTGTGCAGCAGAGGCTGGCTGACAGTGTTTACGCGCCCGTCTGACAGAGTGTTAGGAGGACTGGAACGGCTGCCTGCTCACTGCCCTCAGCCAGGGAAATGTACCATTAAGATGAGATCTATCAATATCAGTTCCAGACGATGGGAAGAAGGAACGGAGAAGCTGATGAGTATAGATATAAATCATTTAGGTGGATGTTTTTAGAAGGGTATGAGGAGGAGGAGGAGGTGGGGAGGAAGCCCGGCCACCTGCTCGGTTTTCATGAGATCTCAGTGAGGTGGGCTCTAAGACAACAACATGAAGGATGTGAGCACCTGGTGGGGTTCAGGCTATCGGTCTGTCTGCGCTGTCTTTACTGAGCATCTTCAGTTTGTATCTTCATCTCTGACGCATTAAAGAAGGTAAACCTGGCCTCAACTTTGAGCTACATTTTAGATTATAATAAAAGTTTTTGAAAATGAGGCCATTCATTCTGTATACTAGGATTATAATTTTCATTATATCACAGTGGATTATTTGTCATTACTGTAATTTGTAAGTTTTGTCATTTACAAAATGTTTCCTTGGTAAGATATCTTCATATTGTAAATACTGTTGCGTCACCCTCCTGCTGCTCTTGGGTAAAAATGACCCATGGGCAGCAGGAGTGTTAAAAGACCCTCCTCTCTCTATGATCTCTACCATCATCTCTCAGTAACTGCTCTTTCTAAAAGTCAGTCAGCCCTGCTGGTTCTTATTCTTATAAATGTTGGCATACCAGTGCTTTCTCACACTAACCATTAATATGAATGTATGTAGATATTGAATAAATGCATATATACAGGGTTCCCGCGGTTCCTTAAAAAGTCTTAAAAGGCATTGAAGTCATCAATCCAAAAAATAAGGCCTTAAATAGCCTTAAAATGTCTTAAATCAATCTTTCAGAAGTCTTAAAAATGTTAACACATTGTAAATAGGATGACTGTGTTTGTCTCAAATATTAAAATAATTGGTAGCATTTATTTTTTTAAACAATTTACCAAATTTACCGCATCTAGTTGTTTTGTGTTAAAATAAACATTTGGGTAAAATTGTTCTTTTTGTCACATTTGTGTTTATTGTGAAGTTGGTCTTAAATTTCCTTTAAGTGTCATTAAAAAGCATTAAAATTTCTTAAATTTAACTTGCCTTAAGCTGTAGGAACCCTGATAAAATTATTTGTCAAAAGGGTTTTTTAGAGATCCAGGAACTTTGAACAGGATGAGATAACCCTTCTGGTCAGATCTCAGGGTTACTGCAGCACCAGCTACCTGAATGTTGGACTGTTTTTGATTCATGTTTAATTAAGGACGACATATCGTTCAAACCCTCCATCCACTTTTTTAAATCCATTAAATACATTTTGTTGTCTACTTGAAGTCTGTAAGAGTGCAGAAATATGAGTCTTTCCTCCTGCTGCTTGGATATCTTTATATCCTGTTTGGTTATATTTTTCAACCTGTTCAGTTTTCTGTATTTTCTATGACATTTTCTGAGTTTTTACATCTAATTATTTGCGACAAAACAGATATAAGGTCTGGATTTACCGACTACATTTTGCTGGTTTTTATTCTCCTCTGGTTCTGGATCAGACTCTGGCTCCAACAAGGCTGGGTGGACAAGTCTTCCCTTGCTGACGTCTTTTAATTTCTCAATAAAAAGTTTCTGCGCAGCTATATAGCCCTAAAGCCCTCTATCAAACTGGAATGAACCGGACTGTGACCTGGAGAGTGGCGAGGTGTGAAGCACCTCCTTTACATTTAAAGAGACGGCCTCAAAACGAGTTGATCTGAGACACACCTCAGAAAAGGGGCGGGGCTTGTGAAGTTACAATAAGGAGGAATTCAGACCAAAGCGCTACAGTTTCACATTATACAGTATAGACCCTAACTGAAGGATTAACATGTGAAAAAGAAGAATTTAAAAGCACTGTGTGTCTACACGTAAAGAAATTAGAAGAAGTCCTTGACTGGCATTTGCTGCTTCAGTCTATGAGCCTCTTTGGTTGTGTGATGACCTCCTCTTTGTTTAATTTAAAGTTGCTTAAAGTAAGTTTCTTCATCTTCTTTCTCTTTTTCACAAAGATAAACCAGCAGCAAGCACTTTTTTCTTTACTATATTTCTTTTTTATTCCTACCCTAATTTTTAATTATAATTTTCTGGTTTTATAATTAAGCCTTTCTTTGCCTGCTCAGGACTGAAGATCTACAGAACTTTCTCATAAGTGTGAGTCAGCAGTGCTGCTACCTGACGGAGACTGTTCAGGATGTCGTCAGCCGCTTCCCTCGTCACACCTCTCAGGTACGTGTCGTTTTCACGCCTTTGTTGCTACGCAGCTTCTGATGTCCAGCTCTGACAAACCCTCTGATTCTCTGACAGCAGATAGTTGTAAGATTTATAAGCTCTCTTCGTACTGGTTGACTTGTCTTGGCGAGGTCTTCAGAATGCTCTATGGTTCTGAGATGTCACAAGTTACTGAGCAGGGACCAGCCTTCTGTAAACCTGTTTATCAAATGACAAGAATATTAAAGCTTTTTGATAACATTTAGTTCTTAATTGTTGTGCTGATGCTACTTATGTTTAGATGATCTAAATTTATATTTTTAGTTTTTCGTATCCGCCCCTTCAAACGGTTTTGAGATTTTAAATTCTATTAAACTTGAATGGTGATGAAATATACTGTCTTTTTTTCTATCAGGTGTTCATTTTTAAGATAAAGATGTCTGGTTTTTCATGCAGTTGGTCTTTTCTTTGGACCCAAAGAAAGAAGCTCAGTCTGTGTGTAACCAGCTGATAGTAGAAACTAAAGATCTGCAAAAAGAAATCATCTGCCTCCGGAGTCTGCTGTGCCAGGTCAGCACAAAAACTCACACAATACAGAAGCCATGCTTAGAACTTAATAAAACATCAAAACTATTGTCATTAATGTCTGTTAGCAGTTTTATGTTTTAATGTTTTGAAGAGAAGTATTGTGTGTACGAGTCACTTGAAATACTTTTCACTCAGCTGGAACCGAAGTGTGTTTCTTATGAACACAACATAAGCAGAATGCTCTGACAGCTATGTGCAGGACCTCTTGCATGTGTGCACCTGACTCTTGATGCACGTGTGCATTTGCTTTTACAAGAAGAGTCGATCCTGGCAGGACAAGATCCTCACAGCCCATAAGTCAGCACCGCCGTGACACTGACCTGTCAGCACGCAGACGCTGAGGCCGAGGGATGAGGGGGATGGGCGGGGGGGGACACAGGTCGGAGTTTGAGAGAGGAGATGTTGGTACAGTAAGATACAAGGAAAACAATTAAAACCAGTTTAAATCTTCCAACAATCAGACTCTCTTCCAGGCCCCAGCAGAATTCCTCCCTTTACACATGCACTTTAAACCAAGCACAGAATGTAAATTTGTTGATGAAAGCCACTTTATTTAGACATATTTACTGTTGGGTCTCTCATTTTACATGTTTAGACATTTAACTGTTGTTGGACTGCATCAGTTTTGACCCTGATGCTTTACTTTGAGCTTCATCTTCTGTTAGGACCAGTGTCCCTCACTGCCATCCAGTGTTACAGAAAGATTTCCAAAGGTAAAAGAAATGTGCTTTAAGAAAGTTATTTGAGTGAAGTTAGCAATGGTAAATGGACTGTACTTATATAGCGCTTTTCTATCCATCCAGGACACTCAAAGCGCTTCACACTTCAATCTGTGTCCCCATTTTAATAATGCACCAGATCTTTACTCTTGCAGAGTTGCTAAGGAGGTCATGGGAGTTTGCCTCTCCAGTCTACATGTGTTTTGTGGACCTGGAGAAGGTTAATGACTGTTCCTCAAGGCGTTCATTGGTGGGTGCTGCGGGAGTGTCTGGGTTGTGATTCAGTCCCTGCAGAACCAAAGCAGGAGATGTGTCCACATTCTTGGTACAAAGTCGAGCTTGTTCTCAGTGCAGGGCAGTGAGGCTGTCCCCTTGTCTCTGATCCTGTTTATAGTGTTTATGGACAGGATCTCAAGGCACAGTCGTAGAGAGGAAGGTGTCTGGTTTGGGAACCTCAGGGTCTCATCTCTGCTGTATGCAGATGATGTGGTTCTATTGTCATCTTCAGGCTAAGACTTTCAGTGTACACTGAGGCGGTTCTCAGCTGAGTGTGAAGCAGCTGGGATGAAGGTCAGTTCCTCTAAGTCTGAGGTCATGGTTCTCTACTGGAAAAAGGGTGGAATCCCCATCTGTGTCGGGGGAGAGTCTCTACCTCAAGTGGAGGAGTTTAAGTATCTGAGTGTCTTGTTCACAAGCGATGGTAGGATGGAGCGGGAGATGGATCAACAGAATGGAGCCTCGTCTTCAGTAATGAGGGTGTTGCTACAGTCAGTCCTGGTGAGGAAAGACAAAGCTCTTGATTTACTGGTCTGTCTTTGTTCCAACCCTCACCTATGGTCATGAGGTGTGGATCATGACCGAAAGAACAAAATCCAGATACAAGCAGCTGAAATGAGTTTCCAGGTTCAGCCTTAGAGATAGGGTGAGGAGCGCCGTCATCTGGGGTAGCCAGAGTAGAGCTGCTGCTCCATAATGAAAGGGGTCAGTCGAGGTGGTTCAGGCATTTGATTAGGACGCCTCCCTTTAGAGGTGTTCGGGCACATCTCACTGGTAGGAGACCCTGGGGAAGACCCAGGGCTCGCTAGAGGGATTATGTATCCTCTCTGGCCTGGGAATGCCTCGCGGTCTCCCAGGACGAGCTGGAAAGTGTCTTGGAGGAGAGAGAGGTCTGGGGTCAGATTTATAAAGGATTGCATGGAAACCATACTAAAAATGAACGTACGGCCAAAAGGCGAAAATGGCATACGCCAAAAAAAATTCTGATTTATAAAACAATGCGTACACACGTTTCTGCGCACCTTTCATTTATAAATCACAGCTGCACCTCAGAGTTCGCACACAAGGTCCTGCCTCAGGTTCTACCCTCTACTCGCCCACATTCAACCATAAACTGTCAATGTAAAGTACCTCATGAATGTTAAGATGTATCAGCTGATCAATGTCAAAAAAAAGTGATTGGCCGACTCAGATTCGCGCTCCGAGGATGACAGGTGCTGACTGACAACTGCTCACATGAACAGAATGTCTGTAACTGACAGATTTTCCCTGATTTTGCAGGTTTACAGATGTTTAGAGAAATGTAATGATTTTTATCAAAAACTCAGCTTCAAATTAATTTTCTCTCAGAGCCTGCTGGACGATAAAAACTAAATAAAATTAAACAAGTCAGATAAACTTAGAAATAATTTCATCACTCGTCTCCCCGTCCTCCCCCTCCTCTGTTATCTGCGGCAGACCCCCCCCCACCACCACCACCACCACCACACACACACACCTCGCGCGTGACAAGTACGGATTTTAAAAAGTGAAGTTTTATAACATTCACACTGGTGAGGGTGGGCGCGCCCTGCGAGTACCCAAAGCGTGAAGCCGTGCTGTTGAAATGTGTCTTGTCGGGGAGGGGTCAGGGTCATGAGGAAGAAGGAGATGAATGGAGTTGCACGTGGGAACCTTTATTTAAGATTTAAGGTTTGTATTTCAAAGGTTCAGCAGTAGAAGCATAAATATTATTGTTAAGAAAACTAAAGTCGATCTAAAATCTACGTCTGATTCTGAAGGTAAATTAAATATCTGACAGTGATCATTACACAGTGTGGCTATAATTCTTCACTTCACCATCTGTGTCGCAGCTTCCCGTCTCCAAAATGAGCGTACGCATGGGTCAGAGCTGGCTGAGGCACCGCACATTTTCACGTCAAGTTTGGATTTTATAAATCACAACCTTTGCATGAAAAGTGGCGTACGCAAGTTTTATAAATCCGACCCCAGGGCTTTTCTCTGCCTTCGTGACCCGACTACGGATAAGTGGCAGAAGGTGGAGATGCAGTCTGTCATAACAGCAACATTCATTCCGTCAGTACTGCATTGTTTGGGGTCTTACTCATCCTGGTCTGTGATAACAGAAAAATGTATGTAATGCAAAAATATTTTGAGATTTATTTTAGGTTTTAAGATGAAAGAGTTGCAGCTGCTTTGGTCAAACCTTGTAAAAGACACAATCTCATGCAAAACTGTGAGATCTCGTGTTGATGCTTGAAGGATGTGTTAAAGGGGTGGCTGTGGTAGAGTGGTTAGGGGAGTCGTCCTGGAACCGGAAGGTCACTGGTTCGATCCTCGTCCAGTCGACTCAGTCGTTGTGTCCTTGGGCAAGACACCTTACCCGCCTTGCCTACTGATGGTGGTCAGAGGGTCCGGTGGCGCCTGTGTATGGCAGCCCCGCCTCTGTCAGTGTGCCCCAGGGCAGCTGTGGCTACAATCGTTTTCCATCATCAGTGTGTGAATGAGAGTGTGAATGGGTGAATGTCTGTAGTGTGAAGTGCTTTGAGTGTCCTGGATGCATAGAAAGGCGCTATATAAGTACAGTCCATAAAGGTAACTTTTATCTACTACCACACCAAAGTTTAGACTGGAATCTGATTATTGTGATTTTGTGATGGCGAAGGTTTTGTAGCCATGGAGCTTGAAATTGGATTAAAATCAAAACTATTTAATCCATCCATTATTTTAATCCACTTCTTCCTTTCAGGGTCACGGGGGTCACTGGTGCCCATATCAGCAGTCACTGTGCCAGTCCATCACAAGGTTTATTAAAAAGTTAAAAGTAAAAGTCATCTCAAATATACATTAGAGAATTTTAGCAAAATAGTGATTTAAGGCTTCCATGTGGGACTTCTGGTTGGTGAAGGCCCCATCACACTCTTACATCAGTGTGTGAATGGCTGAGTGACTGTAGACGTAAAGCATTTTGGGAGGGACTTGATAATGTACTTTATAAGTTCAGTGTATTTATTTACCATTTAGATTCAAATGAGTAATTTAATCATAACAATTTTCACATATTGTCTAAAACATTATAATGAGGCCACAAATTTGTCATTAAAACAGCACCAGTTTCACAAGAGAGAAAACAAACATTCAGTTGTTATTTTCACACTCATGATATGAACCATTCAACAACACATCTCAGAACTGAGCAGAGCTGTTCAACATCAACAGCTGTGTTTATGCTGTTTTTCCTGATGTGTAGACTGCCTGTTCCATAGGCATTAATGCACCCCCATACCAACAGTGAGGCAGATTCTTAATCAGGGTCTGCTCTCTTGTAGAGAGGATGATGCACGTGTGGTTTAAAAATGCAGAATGTCACAATTTGATCTGTCTGACCACAGAACACTTCTCCACTTTGTGGGTCGTCCTTCTTTGTATGATAGAGCTTTAATCAGCATCAGTGGATGGTGCAGAAGCAGACCTGGTTTTAATGCAGTGGCTGAAGATTGAGCTGTAGATGAAGGGAGATTCAGTGACTTGTGAATTTTCTGTTGAATAATGGGTCTCATGCAAGAACCGTTCGTACACACAGATTTGTTCTTAAGTTGTGCGTACGAGTGATTTAGTAGAATTTGTGTCATTCACCAATGTTTTCGTATTCTAAGATTTTCTTCAGATATGAACAAAATTCACGAGTGGTCCAGACCTGTCGTATATTTTACGAGCAGTCAGTCTGCTGTTATCCAGACGGGTTTTCTTCACTGAGAACTTTATATTTCATTAGTTTGAAGATATTTCGCGTTCAAAATAAATCACACTCCATAATTATGTTGACAATAGGCTATTCTGTTTGACCTGGAATTAGATTTTAAATGTAACTGACATAAATAGGTTAGATTAAATTAAACTGGTTGTTAATGCTGTTGTATAACACTACAATATTAATATGAAGATCTCAAACTAAAAAACAACTTAAATTATGCGTTAATTGAAGTTTGGAGAAATTTTAAAATGCTTCTTTTCAGAACCGCAGCTGACACTTGAGACGGTCGGGGGTGGGGGGTAGCGGTTGCCGACTGCCCCTCTGAATGAGTGGAACATGTAACACAGTTGTTTATACTGATGTTAAAAATATTTGACCAAAGAAAAACCGGAGCAGGACTACAGAGAGGGATAAATATGATTTAGATTTTTATTTCTGTGACTGTAACGACCCACAGGGGTCATTTTGTTCCTCAATTAAAGCAGATCCTTTAGTTCCACAGCTCATGCTGCTAAAAATGACTTTTTGTTTTTGTGGAACTCCGAGAGCAGAACTTCAATCTCCGAACTCGTAAAGTTTTTCTTTTTTACTTTGCAATGTCATTTATGAATGGACACTTCCTTGTATGTGGGGCAGGAAACATAGCCTTATATGATGTTTTTGGGGTGGTAATTATTAGGGGTCGACCGATACATCGGCCGGCCGATATTTTTGGCCGATATTCACGTTTTTCCTTTGTATCGGTATCGGCCGATACGCGCCTGCTCTGGCCGATCCAGCAGCCATGCTCTGGGCTCACGTGCGCGCATCCATTACAGCTCCCTCCCCGGTGGAGAGCGGGTGGTGATTTGTGAGACAGAGCACAAATAACAACAAAGGTAAGTTTTCAACTTTAAACTTATTTTAACTGTCTGATTT